CAATCCAGGTAGGCCATGCGTTAAAGCCCTTTAGTCTCCCACCCCTACAGCTTGCATCACGCTGACTATTGCTACTCGCTTCCCTATTCCTTTTGTGAATTTATTGTTCCTTATTATTTTGTCTTGCTCTCATCTCAAGCCTTCAAATCGTTAGTTCCTCTTTTAGTGTTCACATTAACGTACTTCACATCCCATCAATGTGGTTCACTTGTTTGTGTTCATCAGCACAAAAAGGCAGACCTTCTTATTAATTACGATTGGCTTGAGCCCCATCGCGTGTACTTTGCTAGTTCACTAGGCTCGCTCGTTCACATCTCGACGCATTTCGACACGTGTCATAACAATTAAGAAAGCGGCGGGCTCGAGATAGCTACGCTATTCCACGGTGGCATTACCAAGTCACGTGGCGCTGAATAGTCGCCTTATGAAACGTCTTCAGTACAAAATAAATCGAATCAGAATTTGCATGGCAGTTTTCACTGTTAACAAATATAGCACATTTATCCGCACTACAAGGGACTACAATATAGAAAAAAATGTACCCGCAAAATTACTTGAAATTAAGCGAAAGACCACAGGAGGGTCATGAAATTGGGAGGGAAGCGTCTCAGCCCCTCAGCACGCAGGCGACGCGACGAAGGCTTTGCCGAAGGGCGTCCACAAACTGAGCACCTTTAGAGTAATGCGAATCACGCCAGGAGGTGACACACGCTCTGCAACCGTCATCCTGGGGGAAAGAGTCATAAAAGGTGCTTCCGATGAGGCCCCAACCACCCCATCCACACAAGACCAACTTCCCGGGATTTCCAGTTAACTAAGTATGTGCTCAGCGAGCACCGCGAATACGGGATAAAATAATGCTAGTTAAGGTGCCTTTTCATGTCGTCTTGTCACTTCTCACATTATTATGCTCACCTTCGAAAGTACGGGAATGTTCCGCAGCGCAATCCGCGTTTCATTGGTAGATTTAAAAGACTCACAATAAAAAACGACAGGAAATTGAGAGATGCTCAGACATTTGAGTTAAGCAATTAAAGACTCATTGACTACGCCAGAGGCTATTCGTAACATACAAGTGGAGCCTGACATTAAGTAAAACTCATTAAATAATGCACGCACAGACAACTCCAATTAAAATTACACTAAAAAGGCCAATCATCCGCAAGAAAGGCAATCAAGCCAGCCCATGCCCGTGATCGAGATCGCCTTAGTGTTTTTGTCTGTGTGGCTTGATCGCCAAGGCCTGGATGAGCATGAACACACTCATCAGGGCTCTTCCATCCACCCATCTGACAAGAGAACACTTTCTACATGAAAATTTGCAATCTGATGTTGCCTGTGTCTCTACGTCTCAAAATGCTAACACGCTATCAATTAATAGCTACTGGTTAACCAAGGCAAATACAACTTTATGTGTGTGATAACTGTCCTTAAAGTCCATAGCATCAGCAGCGTGCGTGGGCGGCAATCAATTCAAGAAACTTGGCTTTCAACTTGTAGACCCGAGGACAAGAATGAAGTATACCTACTGTGATAGAGTAGCAAATGCCGTATCCGTTAGGTGAGGTGGGAGCGAACGCGCCAATACGCACCGCTGGTGAGGAAAATGTGTTTGTGGAGAGGATGACGTCATTGATGCGGGCATAGTTGGGGTCTGTGAAGATTTGTGGCAGGGGCAGGGCGAGAGCTTCCGCGTCTGCGAAGTGCTTCAGGGCAAGCAGGTGGCTATCCCAGCCTGGAAGACAAGCAGGAGTGGTGTGTCTGTTGACAGGGTTTTTGCAGATTAGCGACAATTAACCCCATGAATCACCATGTCATTCCCCGATTGCAGCAACAACGCACAGAATTCTGAATGGGCTCGACCATGAGAAAACGTGCCTTATGCCTTAGTATTTTTCATTTCCAAGTAATGGTAATAAGTGTACGTGCCTTGACAGATATAATGCTCGCAGTCTCAAGGCTGCGATTTCAGCAAGCCGCCATTGCAAAAAGTAGGCGGTTCACTCGGAACAGAGCGCATCAACAAAAAACAGCCAAACTCGAGCCTTTTACAGTACACATGGTTCCCACTGAAACGGACAAAATTTGACCAGCAAAAACCACTAGCGCAGTCTTGCGGGGTTACGTTAATGTGCACAAATAACACTGGCAGTAAGTTTGCAAGCTAGGGCGCAAATTCGACTACCGAGAATTAAACGTCTAAAATCGATTTGTTTGAAGAAAAAGAGAGCTATGAACAGACTAAGAGAACTCACGAAAGCGGGTGTTTTGTGTTCAGGAACAATAAGCTTTGAATTCACGCGGAAGGTCAACTACATTTGCTAGGAAGTCCTACCTAGAATGACGGGTGCAGATCAACGGAACATTTACTTCGTGATCAACAGTGCTCCTCATGTGGCAACAACTAAGCAGGACTCACATGGTAGTTTGCCTTGAAACGTCCCCGTTTAAGGGTTTCGTACAAGTGAGACAGAAAAGGAAGTGCCGGGCACAAGAGGGAGACCTAATCCCCGCTGTGAGAATGCCGTGGAAGGCAGTTACTAACAACAGCCAACCACGGCAGCAAGAACAGCCTGGTTTGCAAACAGGCAGTATGACGCGGTGATAACAAGTCCTGCTTTAATGATTTACGGGGAGTCTAGCATTTAACGGCGGCCACGGCACGACAATTGACTTCGCAGACAGTAAACTGGAATGACATTCACTAATGATAATTACACCTTAGTTCGAAATCATTTGTTAAAGTAAAAATTCGAAAAGCTAGTTAACAAAGGCGCCCAACTGCAAAAATACAACCCCAACTAAGAAAAGCAAAGCCAAGAATCTAACGAAACTGTCAATTCGCGTTTTTTTTATACTAATAGTCAGCGATTTGACGTAAGTAAATTCAGGCCTCCAAAAGTCTGGCATGTCTCTGCTCATGCCTACTGCTCGTGCAGTCTGGCAGGAGTGGAGGACATAAAATTTCCAACAAACTGGAGATTTATTAAGGTCTGGGAGGAGGCAGATGTTTAATTTTTCTAACTTGGGGTATAGATGAAAGTACAGCAGTTACCTTTAAAAGACGTTAATTCAATATTCTGACCGATTTTTTCTTTAAAATTCCAAAAAATGCGATTACCATGACATCGAGATCCAAGCTGTCTGAGGGAACTCTCACGAAATTAATTCAGAGTGTGGGAAGTTTATCACTGGTCTGAACACAATGAAGCATTACTAACAACTTACTCTCTGGAGTCAGAAGGCAATTTAAATCACCCACCGATTGGAAAGCAGATTTTGTAATATCGACAACCATAACACAACCCTGAAACTAGCAATCCACTTGTCTTCGATCCGATTATTTAAAAACTAACACCTGTGGGATAGTTTGGTTTGAGTGCTTGATTACCTAGAGAGGACCCCCCTGTCTTCTGCAAAAAAAACAAAGAGCGACGATGCTGCTGCACCACATACTCACTTCTCAGGAGGCTCTTTTCGATCAACCACAGTCATTGCGTTCCCAAATCCTTGAACGATTTTCGCCTAGAGCTGTGCCACTTTCCAGTCAAAGCACTTTGTTTACACAAGAAGATAGGTGAAGCGGACAGCACTCGGAGGCGGGTTAGTGTGCTCACCCTTAAATCCCTCGCTATTGGGGCTCTTCTGCCAGGAGTAGTTTGCGTGAACTGGGGAAGGTAGAAGAGTCCTTGGTCTTTTTGAGTAGACAAGTAGAATCCCAAGAAGTGGATGCAGGACTAGCTACTTAAATGTACGCCAAACTTTGTAGTGAATGTGATTGGTGGCAGTGGCTAGCAAAAGTACACATTTACAAGCGGCATCGCTTTCATGCTAGCCTATCATACTGGGAAGGCAAAACTGGGAAATTCGGCAATTTGACGAGTGCTGGTGCCGATTTTCTAACAAAAAGATTATGGTAGCAGCAATAAGGTGCTCAAACTTCCGCGGCATAATTAAATAGGATCAGGCAATGAATGGATTTTTTCTGATAGGTTAGCATTTTCGGATCAACCCTAAACACCTTATAATTAGGATATTCTTTTCATCCAATGAAAACACTTTCACGCCTAATAGACGTCTTAACCTACAAACAGAACTGTTTTACGGGAGACGGGTCCACTTGAGCATGATCATACAAAAAATGTAGTTTTCGGAATTCCTGGAAGAATTAAGCCAAAGCATAGAATCGGATGAAAATGATCGGAGAGTAGATCCAACTCGCACCTTTGAAATACCGATAGATAGTTGCGACAAGTATTTGTGAGAAAGCACAATTCGCTCGCGACAAGACGGCTACAAGGAGAACACCAAAAGAGGAGTGTCGGTTCGAAAAGATCTCGACAGAAGTGGGCAAGTGAGACCTCTAGTCACAACAACCCGCGAATCAATGAAACAAAGCACCTGGCTCGATCGGGTTGCAGCATGCATGGCTAGCAAACACAGGGGGCAAATGTGAAACAATATAGCCCGCAGTCCCATAATTTAGGGCCCGCAAATCAACGTCAGTAACATGAAAAATAAGCTACAGTATTTCTTAACAGTGGGTCTAAATATGAGCATTTGGTAAAATGTCCTGATTACCAAAAACTAAAATATTTTGGAAGACCAAATGATGCCCAAGAGGAGTAATAAGACCGCCTCAAAGATAAAGCGGATTAATGGCTAGTGCATAAAACCCAATTAAAGAGGCATTCTGAATCTTAAGAAAGAGGCCCAGAATGCAAATTTAAATCAGGAAATGCAAGATTTCGTGATTAACATATAACGAAACTGCATGAAGTAGTGCATAAAACATTCAATGATTTGAATTTTTTTCAAATAAAGTTAAACAAATTAAGAAAAGGGACCAGTTCAAGTATGCAAAAATCTCAAATTAGAATAAACATACCCTGTCCTGCAGCGGCCTCCCTTACAAGTCTAACGTGAGTTTTTGAACACTGGTGAATCGCGGCGAGAAGGTCATCAGTCAAAGCCGGTGGGCCTCTAGAGGATTCTTCGAGGCGGACTAGTTCAAGGAAGTGACGCGTTGCCAAGGTGGCAGGTCGAATGGTCTCAGAACGACCGTGTTTGAAAGCCGCCGTGCTGCAGGATTTGCTTGTCGCTGCTGGCTGGTTGTGCACCTTGTCGTGGGCCAACTGTGAACCGGTAATTAAAAGTACACAACCAATTACAAGCCCGATGCAGTGTAGAGGATCACTCCAGCCTCTTAAGTCCCATCCGAAGTCCCAGATAAGCCGCGTTGAACACGGTGAAGTCTGCGCATTAATCCAAGCACCAAGCAAGACTAGTTCCGGTGCGGTGAACTCTGACAGATGCCGGATGGTATTTAATTCCAACATAAAAGTACTACACTAAGCTATGTATTGTGAACGTTGGCCGTATAACCTCCATGTAACTGTGACTCAATGAGATTTACTTCTGGTAGCTGCGATTCAAAGGTCACTGCCACTATCACCACATACCTCGAGGATTACTTTTTGACCTTTTCTCGGGATCCCTTCACTCTACACCAGTTGAAAACCTTAATCGCACCTCCAGGATAACTCGATTAGCCTACAGATTTTTTTATTATTGGTGGTGTTAATCGAATAAACTAAAGAGTCTAATTTCGAATTCTATTTTGGAGAAAGTCGAATTCTTTCTTCGTGAATGTTCAAAAAAACCTTTCCGTGGAGGTAACCATCGTTCCACGTAATACGACATCCATGTTACCGAATCATAGCACCCTACGTCAGTCTAATGAACAAAAGGACAGGAAATCCTACTTAACAAGCCTGCAACATGCGGAGCACCTCACCTCACAGAGTAGGACAGACAAGAACATTACAGGAAAGCATTTTACAAGGCCATGAGGAACCGCCGAAATTAATCCAATTCACAATTCAAGCCAATTGTAATTAATAAGAAGGTCTGCCTTTTTGTGCTGATGGACACAAACAAGTGAGCCACATTGATGGGAAGTGAAGTACGTTAATGTTAACACTAAAAGAGGAACTAACGATTTGAAGGCTTGAAATGAGAGGAAGACAAAATAACATGGAACAATAAATTCATAAAAATAATACGGTAGCGAGTAGCAATAGTCAGCGTGATGCAAGCTGTAGGGGTGGGAGACTAAAGGGCTTTAACGCATGGCCTACCTGGATTGCAAGCTGAACCATGGCATCGGCACTGACACCCGCCTTCGTGCACAGCGTCCTCGTCAGCCTCTTTTCACCGTCCATGCAGTCGACCTGCAGGTTGTCACGAAACTGGTCGTAGGCGTCCACGTGTGCGAACAGGACATCGCGGTGAAACCTCTCGTCCACATGCCACTCAAGCCGCTTCACTGTCGGCAAGGGTAGTCTGTAAACAAGTCGGATTGTTCGTCAAAAGAGTTGGTAGCTAGGAAAAGCTTTCTTTGCGTAAAGACAGTAATGTGGTACTTAAACGGACACACACCACAATTTAACTACGCCGTGAAAGTGAAGCCAAGGACTTGGGATAGGTAGACCAGGTGGTGGCGAAAATTGATCAGCCTGCTTTTCGACTTCACCAGTGGACGTGACTTGCCTAAAAATTGCATTCTGCCTGAGGCCAAGTCAAGTAAACGCTTGAGGGGTGACACGTAACGTCCTGACGCAAGCTGTGTCGCCATACAGAGTGAAAGTGAGGTTCTCAACAGGAATCTGTTTCAACAACCACATGGAAACACTGGGGATGGCGGTAGGGGTGCAGGTTCCACTTTCAACTTGTAGTCAACTTCACTTTCACAACCCCCCCTCCACACACACACACACACACACACACACAAAGTTGCTATAATTGGTTGTGAGATCGTCGTAGTGATTAGGAGAATGTGGGTGAAAAGAATGAATTGACCTGGAAAGGGATGGTTTTCCAATTGCGCGGGGTCATGGTGGCATTTAGCAGGAGAGAGTGAGGGGAACAACACACCGACACACCGAGTTGCGCAACGTGAGGCAGGCTTGACATGAAGGTGACCGGGTCCAGAATGAGGGCATGACTACTTTAATGAAACACCCAATCAACGCTACCGGTGGGCTCCGGCTTAACAAAAATGATGTGAGGGAACAACAAGGGCCTTGGTTACATAGGACAAGAGGAAGGAGGACGTTTAGAGGCGGTGGTCCTCGAAACCACACCAATCACAGGGAAGAATGGAAGTGAATAGGTCAGTTTGTTCCTCAACAGCATGAAAGCACTGTCGGGGGGGACATTTTAAATCAACGCAAAACACGACAGGACATCTAGACCCTAAGAACACGTGTTGCAATCGGTCAAGAGGTGCATGAATGGGCCTAGAGGACTGGTGAGACATGTGGTGCGGCTCAGTGTGAACGGAATAGCCCTCTGTTCTGACAACCTCAGATAATTTACACAAATCTGCAGTTTGAATATGTGGTATCAGTAACAGTAGCCAGTGCACACCGATGCGCACATACAAAAAGTGTGATGGACAAGGCAGAAGCGACTGCAAGGACTGCGACATGGAGCCGGGAGCAGCAGCAATGCTCGCGACTTGCCAAACAATAAAATGTGCATTAAACATCAAATCAACGGCGAGCGATTAAGTAGATAGGGAGGCGGTAGATTAACGTGGCTGGGTGCTGATGCGAGCGCAAGGCAGAAAGTGTAACTAGCCTCGTGGGCTGACATCGCGACGACTTGTTTTCAACCAGTCGAAAACAATTCGTTACTTTGTTTCTTCTCGTGTGGAGCTCATGATACGCTGCTATGCTGACACCCAGCCCACGTGTTTGCCGTTGTTGTGTTGAGCTGATTTTGTTATTGTGATGGCGGATTGCTTTGCTTGAGTTGACTCTCAGGTAGATGCGGTTTCGCTTCGTTCTCTGAGAACAAATGTCGTCTCGTGCACCTCAAATCTGGCTCAGCGAGCAGCCACGAAGCGACTGCGTGCCACCGACTCAGTGTAATTGGTTGGAGTGGAAGTAGCTTGAATAGTTGGGCGCTTAACAATGCTTTTTCTGCACGCAATAAGCTGGAGGGTGGAAATGGAAGAGGATAAATTGGCAAATCGAATGTTGGTGTAATACAACAGACCCTGAAGATAAAAGCTGACTGATGAAGTGAGCTAATGAGTGGGCAGTGCCTGAGGTGGGTTGATGCGATTTAATGCAGTGATGAGGATCCGTGATTAGTGTGGGCACGTGATTACCAATGATCCTTATGCGAACCCATCTTCAGTTGCCTTGCGTGTTACTTGGGGAGTGGCTATTTAGTGATATTGTGCAGGAACTCAGCCTTGTGACCGACACTCACCCCATGAGTCCCCTTCTTTAGTGAATACCTTTTGTTGTAGATGTCTGACGGAAGTCAGTTTGATGGTATGGTGAATCATATCCGCAAGACCTCTTTCTGGGTTGTTAGCGCCAAAAGGTTTAATGGTTGGATTAGATTACTGCCTTTTTTAATTTTTAAATGTATGCGATTGTTCACACATTTGTTTGAATCTTCGAATTGTCTTGATTCATTTCAGGGGGGGTGCCTTTCTTTGATATCTTTTTGAAGATTTTTTCCTCTTTTCCTTACTTTCTACATAAATTTATCTACATTTTAATGTGCTAATGTTACGACTCCTGGAGCTGATTGCTACGGGGTAGAAACGCTGTATGTGATTTGCTGTGGCTGTCATCGTGAACTTCCTCTTTTGAATTCAAGATTTTTTTGAAATCACGTTTGCTTTTGCCCTCACTCTTACTGTCAATCTTGTATTATTTACCGATCTTCTATGGTCAGTTCTGTAAAGCGCTTGAATTAGCGAAATGAGCCGAGTTCGTTTCAAGAGTGAACACTCGGCTAATTAGTTTCGCCAAAATTGAATGTAATCGTTCCTTCGGCATATAGTTCTGCCTCACAGATGCATAGCGTGTCTCTCTGTTTACTCCCAGTCGCGAACCCTGAAATTTACAGAATCGGTTGCAGGCAGGCCCAGTAGTTGACAATAATCAGGACCATCGACGCACTCATTTTGCTACAATTTGCGTCTGTTTCAACTAGACGTCCTCAAAATTATTTTTCAGCAGTAACGAAAACCCAACGTAAACAAAATTGGTCTTCACTTCAAGGATATAGCTCAAACTTACCTAGGCGTCAATACTTGTTTCGTGAATTTATTAAAAGCTAGTTAGATATTCCAAGAACTGACTGCTTGATGGGCGATTACTGTCAGCAGAAACAGTTAATGTGAACATATCTTACTGGTGTCGATGTGACTGACTTCCCCATTCAAAATTTGCATCAATGTGTTCTTGTTACGGATGGAATATCGTGCCCCAGAACTAGCAGGAAAGAATGATCAACAACTGATGAACGTGAATTAATCATACAGAAATTTTGCCAATCCGACAACGCAAGAAAGAGACAAGGCATTTATTTCGAGAAAAATTTGATCTCCCTTAAAAAGAGACCATAGTCACTCACATGCACCGCTTTCAAATCGGCGGGCTTGTGCGCGGCCATTGCAATACCTCTGGGATCAGCGGCTGTTTTAAGCTTTGAAAACAATCAGATTGGTCCGTGAAAGTCCTCGAGGCGAGCTTTACAAAAACTTGGCGGTTCTCAAAGATTGGTTGCAAAAATCTTCCTATTTGTCTAATTAAAGTATGCCACTGAATATTCAACTGGCTATACGGTGTACTGGATAGGTGGACGTCCTCAAGTTCACCTTTGCCGACTTGAGTGAAACGCTACGCTGTTCTTCACGGAAGTTCTTGTTGCACTGATGGACGTGGTTGCTATTTCGGGCACTTACTCCACCATACGACTTCTCCTTCATGCACATTTAATCTTACCACTTGGTATGAGGTTACTTTGATGGCCCTGTTCCTTTTGACTCATCCCCTACATTATCGCTCAGTGGCTGCTGTGATTTCAGTGGCTTTCGAACAAAGACCCCCTGTACCCATATTAAGCGTTTCAGATCAATAAATTATTTGTATATGACGTTGTTAAAGAAGCACTACTTCATTTTTTAAATATCGCTTTCATTTCCACGGAAATTTGTTAATTACTGAATGAACATACGATAATGTTACAACGCGTTTCTCAGTAAAGCTTTTTTAATTTCCGTAGTACCTCGAACTGTTCTTCCAGGTTTTTTTAGCAGTTTTAAACTGCAATTTTAAAAAGCCGGTTAATTTAGCATTATAATTACCAATTTGTGATTGGAAGATTAAGAAGACTTGAAAACAACATAGCTCTCATCTTCACCGGCATTCTGTGGAAAATCTACACACCCAATGTAGACCGATTACCGTAACATTGATTAAATCAGAAGCTGCTCTAAATGGTTAACTTTAGTAAAAATGTTGACAGATATTAATGGGACTTGATGCGTCTAAGTGGTGTGACACGGAGGAAGCGAATTGGCTTTGTTGTGCATCCAGCGTTCCCCAAGACGGCCCATCACGGGTTAGGATTTCGTCGTTGTATACACAATTCCCCTAACCACGCCACTCCAGTGGGTGAGTCATCCACCGCACCCTACTGATGGCTCCATCTGTGTTAATTCGCTTTGATCCATCAAGTCAAGGTTATCTTGACTTATATAAGTGACCACATTCCGACCGATCACTCTGCCATTGGCTGAGACATTAAAAATTCTCTGCCTTGTCTTGCATTAGTGTAGGAGTGTCGGCTCAAGCGTCAGACAAGGGGTCTGGGGTATCGGTTATCGGGTACGGGCAAAGCGTAACACAAGTATATACTTCAGAACGAATAAATGGCAACGTAACCACTTGAGCACTGGAAACCCGGCAGGCACCAGATACATCTCAGCAACTTTTACCGGAAGCTTGTTTAAATTGTCGTTACGTCTGAAAAAAAAACACGTGAACTGCTTTTTCCACAGAAATTTTCTCCCTGAGCATACTTGCCAACGCCACATCGATGATATTTCCGGCAATGATTTTGCCATTTGTATTAGGTCCAAGTTGTTGCGGACAAGTAAAAATCATTTACCATCGTATTAATAATTACAAATGCCCCACCGTATCTCTCAGGTGGCTAAATTTAGGGTTTTTCGTTGGGATTGGCTAGCAATTAACGCTACCCCTACTGAGTAGCGCTCAGCCTCAATGGTGGGCAAGTTTCCTGACACAAGTAGGCTGGCTCAAGCTGTAGATTCGATTTGACGAATTTCACAATCCCACGACTTCTCTCTTGCCCTTTGGCTATTCTGACCAGCACAATAACAGCTGTAATACATAATTATGTAACTCTTTTACAAGCGGCATTCGTTCTAACGATCTACAAATTTCCGGATGACATTTATGGATCGAAACGACTCAAATTTTAAGATGACTTGAAACTTGGTTTTGTG